CCAGCAATGGCAACACTCTACGGGGGGGGGGAACCTTTTTATCTCCCCCGCGGAACGGTGTGGTCGAAATTCATAAGATAGGCTCATTTTAAAAATTCTTTTGCGACATTGCTGTTGACTGAAATTTGATGGTTTAAGTGCAAAGAACATGATATTTAATAAATAAAGGTAACACATAACACGTTAAAAAAAAAAACGCCCATTTGGACTTAATTTAAAATCTGAAACCTTTTAGTTTTTTTTTTTTTTTTTTAACTCCAGATGAATTTTTAGGTACTTAGATAAAAAGAAAAAAGGAAAGAAAATGCCAAGTCTTGTGAGTCAGTTACTTGCATTTAATTTAAATATGCAGCATTAGACAGTAATTTTATTAGCAGTGGTTGACATGCTGTTTGGCCTAGATTTGAATCTACAATAATGCAGGAAAGCTTGCGCTTATTGTGTCTTCATGTAACGGGGATACTAAATTAGCTATAAGACTTCTCGAGAAGTGATCAGCGGAGAAACATAGATACAAAACCATCAGATTCGCTCATTTGGAATCTTCTCAATCTAATTTGAATGCAGCTGAAAAAGGCTAATTTGTCACTACTGATGCTGAAGATCGTTGTCCAACGATTGGCGTGTTAAGTTTCCCTGTGCCGCAAAGACACTATGCACTTGAAAAAAACATGCATGACTTCTCTGGGACTCAACTGTGGTAACTGGCTCATGCCAGTAAATCAGCTGACTGATTAAAATAAACTATAAAATCACGCAAAATAAATTTTCAGAATTTGTATAATAAAACCATTTTTTCTTTTTATTAAATTGTTTGAAGCGGAACTCTCTTTCATAGTGCACTTTAAGTAAGATTACTTTGTAATCCCCGTAGCGTGGAAAAGCATTTTGTAAATTAAGCATTTGCTATGCTTCTGCCGAGCACCGCATTGAACTGCTATGTTTTCTAAGAAAAAGAGAAAGAAAAATGGTTCGTAACATCATTGAAATGTAGCTCACTTATTATATAAAGTGGCTGCTTAAGTACATAAAACCACTTTAGCCGACGCCCACAGTGTAAGGAAGGGCAAATTACAGCATCGCTTTTAGTTGTTTATTCGCCAGCTATTTGGAAGCTTAATTTCCTGTTTAAATTCCGGACCGCGCTTCGGATTATGTACCTTCTATGCAAGCTGTTCTGAGGGAATAACAAACTGTATTTTTTCTGATTTTTTATGACTTGCGCGTTTTAAATTTATGGAGTTATTAAAGTTATCCGGTTTGTAGTTAATATGGTAGTTTTACCTTGTACAATGAATTTGCTCTTACCGCCCCTCATTCGCCGCTAGTAAGGCGTCACACGGTACTGTTAATTAAAAAAGTGCTAACCTGTTCACGTGCCTTTTTTAAGCTATTCTTTTTTCTATTTTTTCATAGTTAAATTTTATTATTCTAAGGAAGTTTTTTTTTTTTTTTTTTTTTTTTTTTTTTTTTATTTCTGTGGCTCTTTTTTCGGTTAATCCATTTCATGCAACGGAAAATTCAAGGTGGGTGTTTTCCCAGATTTTGGAATTCTTTAAAAATATATTTGAAATTGCATTTGCTGCTGCATTTTATAACTAAGGAGCAGCAAGCAGTCTTTGGAATAGTGCAGTTGTGAAGTTTGAAACGTCTCTCGTGAAATAAAATTTTAAAAAGACATGTTATAAAGCCTTATATTATGTACCTCGACAGCAATTTTTTTTTTTTTTTTTTTTTTTTTTTAACTGAAGTGCATAATCTTAATTTAGAGATCGTTTGCGCGTCGCTAAGACACACATTTCTACGTAGAGTAAAACGAAATGATGGAGAAAGTTTAGAAATAAATTCGTGTTTTATGATAAAGATAAATGATTACGTGCTGTGATAAATGATCATGCTGACTGAAGAAACTGAACTGTGAACTAAATCTTTGTTCTGGAGATGGTTTCAAGTGTCCATGTTCATTGACACGTTATGTCAGTTAAATTCACATTCTGCTAAGAGACTTATATGAAAATCTGACAAAAGCTGAAATATAAGAGATTTCAGTAAATGATTGAAGCGTTTACAACAGCACATCACAAGTGAATTTTTGTCATTCTGTTAGTTTTTCAGTGGCCAAAATGGAAACTTGCGGTTATTTGTGAGGCATTATACTTTTTTCCGTACGTTTTTATAAGTGTTGATTTTCTGTTGATAGTCACACATTTCAAATTTTCGTTATTCATATTTCTTACTTTATTCGTGTTCAGTAATTTAAGTGCTATACTTGAAATTTGGGGGAGGAAGCAACTTTTTCTTACCGTTCCGTATGATTTCATTCATATAATTTAAATGAAAAATAGCATTGCCGAAATTAATCTTCACAAAAATGAGCGATTTCTTGCTTTTTATGAAAAGTAACCAGACCTAATAAATCAAAATACAGTGAACCGTTGTGCAGCAGTTAATGGGTTGGAAATGAACTGGAAGGGGAAGAGCTTTTAGTAACAAGTATAATGGAATATCTCTTGTCGATCACTTTCTGAAAACGTCAATAAATATAGGTATTAAACATTAGTCTGTAGGGTGAGAGCACTTCCACAAATGACCAGGGTTATCTGGAATGCCTGGTGGTGGTCTTGGGGAAGTTTCATTCTACGTTGAAATATTGGTACAAAAATGTATTGTTATACATACTTTTGCTTAGCTGTGTTGTATATTTATTTCTATCTTTACCTGAGGAAAATAATTACCACGGGTCATTGAAAATGCTTCTCACTTCTTTAATTAAAATTAATCGAGGTTCAGTTGTAAAGAGTTCTCATGTTGTGGTTTTGGTTAAATTCCGTTGAATAACTCTAGTTTAAATTAAAGTTACACTTTATCTCCTTTAAATCAAATTTATTTGAATGTTTCACTTACTCTAAAGCTGGTGTACAAAATATCTTATTTTATTTTCGAAATGATAATTGGCTTCATTTTAGGGAGCACTAAAAAAATCAACGGAAAAGAAAAAATTATCAGTGAAGCATAATTTTTTTTATTTAAAAGCGATTAAAGTATCCTTCGACGTGTTCAACTAGAAATTGTTCATGATACTTTTCTGCAAATTTAGAGTTAGGCTTTAATTCCCCATTATCTGTATCATACATTTACGCTTTCGCGAACTATGATAACATTTTATGTAATTAAAGATGCAGATATGTTGGAAATATGAATGGCGCAACTATAGATTTTCTATTGTAATTAGTTCCGTGACATTATTCCTTCGGGAGCTTATTTGAAAATTAACGTAGGTTTTGAGAAATGACAGAGCTTTACATATCGGAAATGAAAGCGGGATGTTGAAAGTAGTAATGACAGCCGGAGAATGATCTATCATTGTATCGAAATATTTGCTGACAAGACCATTCATTTTCCATTTTAATATTTGGGAAATAGTATAGCAACACAAAGGCGGCGTAAAATTCCATTATTAGAACTTCTATAAGAGAAAATCATCAAAGGAAATTTCTTTTTAAATAGGATATTATAAATTCTTTTGTGTCGTATTTAAAAAATGTTTTTAGTTGTGAGAAAACATTCTTATCCGTATTCGAAACTACTGACAAAAATGATTTAGCCGTGCATGTGAATCATGCTTTGCCTTTTGCTTACGGCTGCGTATTTTTTTGCGATTGCCATCCTTATTGCTATCATTTTTTACAGTTCATTAGCATGTCAGTTAATCTTAGACGCGTAACCACATTTATCATGTGAAATATGAATTATTACAAGCTTATTCATGTAACAAAAGTAGGAGTACAAATTATTGAGCGTGGAAAAAATGTAAACGGTCTCAGAATACACTGCTAAGACGTCATATAAACAGTTATTTCTGCATGTATTATCGTTTAATTAGTTTATTTTACGTATCATTTCAAGTGTAATATTACTGAAGCATGTTAAGTTTATTTATTCTTAAATATATTTCCAGAAGACACTATTGGATACTCTTTTTTCCCCAAACTTTTATTTGATTGGAAGTATAGCGTATATAAAGCATTGTTTGGCTTTATATTTAAGAGCGTATTCTCCGTCTACAATATATTTCTAGAATAGTTTTTATTATTACTTCATTCTTTCTTCTCTAGGAATTTTTTAATATATCTGCCTTTTACTCGAAAATCAACATACCCCTTTATATAATTAAAAAGAATTTTTTTTAAATTTAACTCTGCTGAAAAATAACAAGCTGGAAACATACGAATTTTAAAAAGTGTGTTAGTTTTAGCTAATCTGATTCATCAATTTTCGCGGATGAATGTAAGAGTTGTTATTTATAAAAATCTGAAATTTTGCTTATAGTATATTAATTTTCAATTTACTTAAGAACTTATTAAATATAGTAATAAAAATGAGCTTATTTCAGGGGAGAACAATTAATGTATTATCACTTTTTTGTTTGTTTATTTGTTTTGTGTGTGTGCGTAAATATTCAGAAGGGAAATATATTTTTAATTTCCCAGTAGCACTATGGGCATTTCGCTGTTTTGCACACTGGCGGTAATGAAATGCAAATTATTGCTTTCGTATCTTAACCGCCGGGTTAAGTCCTGATATTTCTGATTCCTTTGTTAATATTTTAATTTTTCGATGTTCTGTGGTAATTACAGCAATCTTATCTTTCCCTTCGCCCACTCACCACGGGAATTCGATTTTTGTTTGATGTTGTTTTCACTGTTGATTTTCTACGTGCCCAGTGAAACCTGATATACAGGTGTATAATGACAATAATATTTGCATAGATGGTTTTAAACTTATATATTTCTCATTGTTTAAAAATCTGAGAACTTTTGAAATGATTTTATTGTATTGCAATAATATAAAATACTACATTAGCATAATTTACAATAACAGTGTAAAAATAAGTAATGCATTTATAGGCGAAATTTCTTTTTCTGCCTTCAATGATTTAATTGTTTGTAAATAGATAGTCTGGAAAATAAATCTAACATACTTACTTTTTTCTTTCTTAGGTCCTCCTGGTATGAGCCCAATGAATCCCCGTATGAGTGCCCCTCGTGGTCAACCTCTTCCTATGAATCCAGGAGTAAGTTAATTTACATTAATTTGTTATATTTGCTGTGATTGTATGCCTTTGAAGTGTTTCTGAGTTTTGGTAAACTATTCTTTTAAATTGTCAGATTTTGTAAAATAATTTTTGTATTTGATATTGTACTAATTATTAATTTTTAACAAAATACATAATGTCTGAAACCTGTCAATAATCTCAAATGGCATTATTCATCTTTCATTTTTTAGAATTATGGAGGAATGAGGCCACCTCCTAATAGTACTATGGGCCCCGGGGGCCCTTCCATGCCACCCATGTCCATGTAAGTGATTAAAAAAATTATGTCATAATGTCTCTGATATGGAAATGAAATAGCGATCACTGTTTCCTATATAATAATAACCCCTTTCTGTGTTAAAATAAATATCTTTCCTAAATGACTTACAGTGCTTATTTATTTTGTTATTTAAAATAAAATAAATATATGAAAGTTTGATGTTTGAATCTACTCTAATCAGAATAATCAAAATCTATCTTTCAAGTAATAGTCATTTTGTTATTGTTTTTTTTTTTTTTTTTTTTTTTTTTGGCCATACCATTAAAACTTGCACCTTCAAATTGCATTATTATTGTTTTGTTAACCGATTTCATCCACCTGAAGAGCATTGTGAATGAACATTATTTCGACTTATAAAGAATTAACTGAGGAATAAGTTTTTTCATATATATTGTATTACCTCTTAACAATGAATCTTTATTATTAAAACATTTCATAGGCTTTAATATTTTATAAAATTCCTTTATTTTACTGAGGTAAATCTCTCATAAAAGATTTACTTCATTGGAATAAAGCAATAAATTATGCAGTACTTCTGATTAAATAAATGTTTGTATTTTTTTTCCAATATGCAAAAGGATTTTACAGAAATCTTTTTCCATCATATGATGCTTCAGTTGTCTGTGATTGTGCTTCTGAATTTTATTCTTTTTAACTAATCTAGCCATCTAATGCTAACTGCCTATTATTAATAAATATTTATTATTTGAAGTGCAATTAATTCTATACCAAATTATTTAGATGCCTTTGTGATTGCTGTAGTAAATTTTTAGGTTGAAGAGTCATATAATTTTCTTTCAATCTTTTCCACATGCTTGTTTTTCATGCTGTACAAGATTTGATTAATGTATGTGAAGTATGAAAACTAATGAAATAATAAAAATTAAAATCATGAGTCAGAGAAAAAGTGGAATATTGTAATTATTTATTACAGGTTAGTTATGCGAGTAAGTGATAAAAAAATATAATAAAAGCAATAGTAAGATTTTGTTTTTTATAAATTTTAGGTAATAAAAATTATTTTGAGAGTGACAATAAAATAGGGACATTTGATTTTTTTTGGTTTTTCAATCAATAATTTTTATGTAATTTCAGATCAATAATTAAATAATTATGAATCAAAAGCTTTATAGAGTTAAATATGTTTTTCAAAATTTTAAATAGCATTATCTGTATTTTTATTTTATTTATATGTCAGTATTTCCTTTAGTATTTTACAAAGTTTTTCTTAATACTTTTGTATTTTTCAAGGCCTGGAGGCCCTGGTGGACGACCTTGGCAGCCTAACACATCAACAGTAAGTTTTCACTCAGAAAATTATTCATTCTTATAAAGTACACTGCAGACTTATGTGAATGCTCTGAAAAATGATAAACCTGTTCTTTGGCTCTATTTTTAATCTCTTTTTATTCTGAAATATTCAATAAATGATAGGTAAATATTTGAAATTAATTTAAAATTAGTGAGTACTTTTTCTGATGCTGTATATTCTGGGAATAAATAATATTGACGTTTTGGAATAAGGCTTAAGAATAATAAATATAAAAGCAAAGAACTTAGGAAGGGGAATTAATTCTTCTCTTTGTCAAATCAAATAATGTTCCTAAAGAAGGGGGCAAAATATGATTATATGAGTAAATACTGTTCATTCTACAAGTTCATAGATTTTTCTTCAAATAGTAGTGCAAATATAAGGAAGATTTGAAATTTTATTCCAATCTGAATAGCAGTTTTACATAATAAGCTGGCAAAATAAGCAGCTGTATCAAAAGAGAAAAAGATAAAGCAATATTCTCCTCATCGTGCAAAGAATATATCTGATAACCAAAATCACTTGCAGAGCAAAGTCTAAAGCAGTAATTGTAAAGCAAAAGGATCAGTAGCTAAACAATTACAGTATTCTGAGTTGAACTCATAGCTGTGAACTAACTACAAGCTCTGCTGCAGCTTCACATGTATTTGCTCAAGAAGAAGGATCCGTGCTTTTTTATTCTTCAAGAAAAATCCTCTTTATGTCTACAAAAATATGTTTTTGAAAACTTCCAGAATGTCATCAAGTTAGTGAGGTATTGTCAGATATTACCAGTTTGGTAATACAAATTTTTGTTTTGCCAAAAGCCAGAGTTTTTTTTTTTTTTTTTTTTTTGTAGTTTTGCTTGAGCTATCTATAATTCCAACATTAGTCCATTCAAAATTAAAAGTTCTACAAAGTGAAATATGACCTGTACATATTTATACATATGAGGAGCCACAGTTAAAAAACTGAATAAAATATGTGATACAACACACAGTTATAAAAAAATCATTAAATAAATTAATAAAAACAAGATAAAAATACAGAAAACTTAACTGCAAACAAATAAAGGCTAATATTTTTTAAATTTCTAGCAGTGTAATAAGTTTAATTTTCTGAATGTGGAATTTCACTTTGAATAAAATCTGGATTATAAATTAAAATTTCATAAAATTTTTTGTGATTTGTATAAGCTGGAGAGAGTAAATTTAAATATTCTTTCTTTATAGATGAATTATTCCTCTGCATCACCTGGGAGCCACTATGGGGTATGTTTCTAAATGTTTTGATTTAGTGTGAATTTTCTAGTTAATAGCATTATTAAAATATGACTGAAATTTATTTGCATGTATTTCTGTTTGAGACTGTAAAAGCAGAATATCCACGTCCCAAATCGGGGGAGGAAATAAGAGTATTGAAAGTGTGTGCTTTCTTTTGTTAGAACATATCTGCGATAAATTTATCCACAAACTTTCCCAAAATTATATCATGGTCTTTAATGTTTTACAAACCCCAAATACTATATCAGGTTAAAATGCAGAAATTTAACACCAGCCTTAGATTTAATAAGTACACTCTGCACCCAAAAAAAAAAAAAAAAAAAAAAAAAGGTGGAGGACAGTTTTGTATTAGATTTATATATAGCGTACCTCTACTTGGGTATTTTGATGCAAAATTGAACTTTTTCTGAAATGACATACCTATTTTTTTTTCCATATTTTGATTCTATGACTCAAATTATATCTCAAATTAAATTTTGTAAAATGTGATGATAAACTTACTGAGAAATTTAAGAATTTATATCCTGGCACACTCTTTTCAGTTTGTGCCAGGTTAGCAAAATTCTTAGTATGTAATAGCCTACTTTTTTCCTTTTTTTTTTTTTTTTTTCATTGTGCATGAATGGAGAAAAAGGTGCATCGTTCATTCTTTCAAATAATTTTAACAAAGTTTGTAAACCACATTTTCATTATTACCACTTATAACAACTATGCCAAATTTCAAAATACTGCAAAATATAAATTTATACATATCTTTAGAAATTTTGAATAAAAAACTCTTAATTTTTTGCATGTGTGCCTAGATCAAGGTGATGGTAAAAAATTTATTGGTTATAATTCATAAAGTTTTTGAAAATTTGTAAAAATTAATAAAAAAAATTCTAAATAAATCAGAAAATATCTGTGAATTTTATTTAGATTGAACCTAAATTTGAAATTGTGAATGAAGGAATCTGGTAAGTTTAATAAAAAAAAGAGATGTTAATAAATATATACCAAATTCAGTTAACGTGGAGGAGCTAAAATTTTGAGATCTAATTTTTTTTTAAAGCTACTTGTGTGATTTTTATGAAACTAGGTGGTTTTTGCATAATTTGAGTCATAGAATTGAAATATGAAAAAAAAAAAAAAAAAAAAATGGTATGTCATTTCAGATTTTTGTGTCAAAATGACTGTATCGAAACAATGCTATATTTAAATCTGTTATATATCCAGCACCATTCTTAAGTCGTTGGCTGCCCGTGTACTTTCCTAAGATTGCCTGCCCAAATTTTAAAAAAAAAAAAAAAAATTGCTCAATGGCATACAATTTTTATTTCATACTCACTAAGTGCTTACATATGACAAATTGTATAAAAAGTACATACATATGACAAGTACTCACAATGAATTTAAAATATTTAGGCATGGTCCCGTAAGGGTCTGGCCACCTGCGTACTTTTACATGCTAGGAAAGGCCCTGTATATATCCTAATTTGTACTTTCAAGGCATGAAAGATCCAAATTAAATTTTGTCAATTGGCCCAGGAGATAGAGAACTGTCCCCCCCTTTTTGTGTGTGTGTGTGCAAGATACATAGTAAATGTTCACGTATTTAAGCATTTACTATGTACATCTTAATTATTATATTAAGTGGTTAATATAATAAATATGATATAAGAGTATTCATATTTCAATGTGAAATGCATAGATCATCTGTTTGAGTAGGTTTTCTTACACTTTTGTGTTACATATGTTATTAAAAGTTTGAAATATCCAAATTAATGATTGAATTTTGTGTATAAATAATATTACATCAATGTTTTTCATGTGTATATAACTTTCTCCTATTATCTGTGTAAAGAAATTTTCTAAGTATAAAAGATTACTTTACTTTAACCCTAGTAATAGCAATAATTTTCACTTATCTATATTCTGTATAGTATATATCTGTTGAAAGAATTTCCAGAGTTTTGGGACATTAAGCAAGGAATAAGTTTGCAGATTTGTTAAATCTTCTTTCACTGATAATAACTAGACATCTTATGTTTCTTTAATTTGAATAGTTAAAATCATGTAGACTTAATGTTCCCAGTCTACATATTTCTAAATTAGTTAATGTCAGTTGGTCCGATGCTAAAAAGTAGTATTCTGAGATATAATGTGTACTTCTTAGAAATGTAATAGCAGAATTTCGTGTTCGTAAAATATACTTTTGGATCATACTTTTATTTCATTTTCATTAAATCTTATGTATATGTATAATTTTATAGGGTGTAAAATTTCTATTCTCATAATTAAATTTAGACTAAATATGATGTAATGTTTTTATCAGTATATTCTCATATCTTATATATATTTGCTTAGTGTATTTTTGTTTACAATTATGTTTTATGGAAATAAATATGTGTGCAATATTAATATTCTCAGGGCCCACCAGTTTCCAGCACAGGCCCTCCTGGTCCTGGGACCCCCATAATGCCTAGCCCGCAAGGTAAGTTGAAGTTCTAAAGATTTTCTAGCAATTTATTTTTTACCCTTGACCATTTGACCCTGCATGAGGCATATTTCATCCACTAAGTTTCTTTCATTTTCAGAATGTGAAGCTGCGCAAAAGCTCCCTTTATGTAATGCCTCTGTGTTTGATACATGTTTTTAACCTCATATTTGTTTCAGAATGTGTTTTGAAGGAATAACTTGCTTCAGAATATTTTCATATTTGTTTGTGAATATGTCTAGTTTATTATTATTTGTTATATATCAAGGAAGTTGTTATTCTAAAAAGTTAGATGTAAAAATTTAAAACCTTGTAGGAGATTAAAAAATAGAAACTTGCTATATGATTTAAAGAGAGATGTGAAATAAGCAACACATAAATAGCCTTGAAGTTAATTTTTTTTTTATATTAAAAATAAATGTTTAAGTATTGTAATTGTTTAAATGTTGGAGAGCAACTAAAGTTTGTTGGATTTTCTTGAGAGATGTTGGAAATTTTTGGTTTTTGACTTTCCCAAAATAATATCATGGTATAAAAGATTCTAATTGCTTTGTTATTCAGCTGTTGTTCTGACTTTAAAGTATACTGACCAGTTTTTCCTTTTATATCAGCTTTAAGGTTTTAATAGTTGATTAGAATGCAAAAATACTTACATGGTTTAAGCATAGTTTTTGACAGACAGGAAAATTAATTTATCAGTTAAGATTTCTTTTGTCTGTGTGTATCTAATCAGCTAATGGGGTTAATGGATAATTGAGACTAACATGCTTATTATTCTGAAGGATTTACTTTTCCTGCGAATCTTCAGTTGAATGTCAGCTGTTGCTTTTAGACTGGATGTTTTATGTCAAATCAACTACATTTTTTTTTTTTTTTTTTTGGAATGGAATGATTTTTATTTAGTGGTATTTATTTAGTTAGCAGTGTTATAATAATCCCTAATTTCACACTTATTGCATTTTAATATAAAATGTACTTTATTCACACTTAGAGTTAATAATTTTTTGCAGTGTCTAAAGAATATAAGATTTTTTTTTTTTTTTTGCATAAGATTAGATTGCTTTGTAATGTTACGTTATTATTTTTATAAACTTATGTTATTGTTACTTTTTTTTTGGAATGCTGTGTTTTTATCACTCTTTGCACACCCTTTGCTTTCCCCCATGTGTATGCCTTTTGTATGTGACTTCTCATTTTTCTATTTTTTCTGTTTTAATATCTGTTTTCACAGAAGAATTTTATGCAGGTTTATAATGTGCAGGGAACTGTATGAAAGCAAATTGTTTAAAAAAATAATATTTGCATTCTATTGCGCATAGTATTTTCCTAGTTAATAATGTTCACTGTTTTAATAATATTGCCTGTGTTGTTGATTATTTATAGTAAAAGATTTTACTTTTAAGTGGATGTATACTTTTATTAAAATTACAGTTTCATTAATTATTTCTTTATTTCCATAAACAATTAATTCACCATTTTTCTAAAAGTTATTTAAAAAGACTTTCAACTCTTAAATATTATTTTCATAATCTAATACAAATACAACACATATTTCCTGCAGAAATATCAACATTTATGCGATTTTTATGTGAAAAGTTAAGGATTATTAATGCCCATTTATATACATGTTACTTTATTCATAGAAATCATTTTTGGTGAAATGTGATGTTGTTAACTAATTGGATATTGCTGTAATGATTAGATCTGCCTATAGTTTAACTATCACATTTTGCCTTGCAAAATATAAATTTTAAATTATTTGCATTGAAATCTTGTATTAAAACATAAGAATTATTTAAATCAAATATAAAATGTTTCAATCATTTCAAATTCAATTCATTTGTTTTTTAACCCAGGGAGATTTTCCAAAATCTGTTAAATTAAGCATCATGGCAGTTCCTACCACAAATTCATTTCATATATTTTATCACAAATAAACCTGCATAATCTTCTGTAGAAGTGGCTCTTTACTGCACAGCTGCATCCTGTTGTTTATGAGAGCTACTTTCCTGGCTTTTTCCTGCACTGATTTCAGGCTTCATGTATTGTTTTTAGGTTCATCAGGTCCTTACTCCCCAGCCAGCCACAGAATGAACACTTCCACGCCACGAAGAGGTGAACATCTGATGCAGCTTTAAATTAACACCATGTGACATCCATCTTTTCCCCTTTCCTCTTCTTTTCCTTCTTTGTAACTACTCTGTTGTTATCCCATCTTCCCTTCAATGTCATACCTTTATTTCTTAATTGTAAACCTTTCACCTTTCCATCATGCTGAAGTTGCCATTTAAAAGTGCACCAAGGTGGACTTTCATTGATGAAGATTTAAATTTCGTTTTGGGTTCAATAAACATCTAGACATGAACATAAAATTTATTTAAGTAATGTTACATTTATTAGCAACATAAACTTCAGGCTGCATTGCTGAAACAAAATCATTTCTGGTCTGTTATGCATATCTGGTATTCTTGTATATCCTCTATTTCTTTTTCTATTAAGTGAAACACATCTGAGAAAGCTTAAAAATTAAGCATGCATACTTAGTTTCATTGCTTCTGTTATTTTCATCATTTTACAGATTATTGATTTTGAGAGAGCATATGTGATACTTCCAAATTGGACAAAGTTATCTGTGGAAATGATAGGCAGTTGAATTTTATTTATCAGAATGGGAATAAATGCTATTTATTTTTCATCTATACTAGTTTGTGGATGAATTTTTTGCTATATAGGATAAAAGAATGTATCAGGTTTGTGGTTTACTAAAGCACGTGATATTTTGGAACATTTTAGCAGTGTAAAGGCTTGAGGAAATCATTTTCGAATTTTTATATATATTGTTGCTAGTTTTAATCCTTTCTGTGAACTACAGAAATGCTGAATCCAGATTTTGCATTGTATCTGCTTGGTAGCATTTACTAACCAGAAATTTCATAACAGCCCAGAAAATAATTTTTAAAAAAGAAAAAAATATAATAATCATTTGTTAGAGATTTTGGTAAAATTAACAGTAAAAGCATAATTGAAACATTTTGGATTTATCTTTATTTTTAACTTTTATTTATTTTTTAATTTAAATTTTTTGTCTAATTTATAGACATAAAAAGACTTAATTTTTTTCTTAGTTAAAGTATTTTAAAATCTTATCATAAATCAATATTAATATCCATTGTTTTTCATTTGCAATACATGAGAAAATATTGTGATGTAGAAAGCTCTTTTCCTCCCTTATAGTTTTTTATGATAATCTTATAATAAATCTCTAAAATATTTAAACTGTTCATGTTGTACTGGGTTGAGATGTTGGATTAACAATCATATTTCAAACAATATGCACTTAAATAGCATAAACAGGTCTTTGCAATTGCCATCTGACCCCTTAATGGTATAAACAGATCTTTGTAATAATTGTTTGATCTCTTTTTTAATAATTGAGGAACCAAGTTTGTATAATGGCAATTATGCATGATGCATATTTTCAAGTAATTTTCTACTCGTGGGCTTCTTGTCATATTTTCAGCTCTGACTTTTTAACTTTCATGTGTACGTACGTATCTGTTTGACTAATCACGGAAGTTATTGCCTTTCAGAATTTGAAAATGTTCTGCCGGAAGGCATTCTAATCTGTTTTTATTTGTGTGGATTTAATAAACAGGTTATGGAGGTGAAGGTTAGAAAGGTGATAACTATCTAACATATTGCATGTTGGTTTATAACATTTTTAACCATTACATTTTAGTGTGTATTTTATTCATTTTGTGTCTTTTTTTTAACCATCTTGTAGGTTTTATACTTTTAACAAATTTTCTGTACTACTTGTGCATGAACAATAAATTTCTTTTATTTCACTCTTTTTTATTCTAAGTGTTATTAAAATGAATTTTTAATGTTCTGTTATTTTGTAACTTAATTTTGCTATTCATGTGAAATGCACCTTTATCATGCTATTTAAAAATAATTATTTTCATGTTTAATTGTGTGCATATTTTTCTTGGAATTCAGATATTAACTTCACATTTGATGAAAATCAAACTTTGTATTTTTTGTTGCAGATTCAACGAGTTCAGGAGGTGAAAGTATGTATGCAATGATGAAACCTGTTCCGGGAGGAAGTATACCTGGGGTAAGGATTTTACATTCATTGTTCTTAATCCAGTAATAAACAGGTTACTGTCATGAATGTTTTGTATTCGGTGACTTTATTCATACTTTCAAATAATGCATAGAAAAGAATGAAATAGATCTATGAAACCTTTTTCATTTATTCAGTATGGCTTGTGCAAATGAAATTACACTGTTGATTATGAAATAATATAATTTTATTAGGTAAAAAAATATCATAAGAGGAGGTATTCTTTTATTAAGAGAAAAAGTGAATAAATTGCTGAGCATGTTTAAATGTAAAATAATAGAAATTTTAATTGAAAAGTTTTACTCTTTCAAGAAAACAAAAAAATAAGCTTGAAAATGAAAATGTGTGAATTTAATAAAAATAAATTTCTTGTTGATCTTTTTATTTACCCGCTTTTGGGATGGCATTTGCTTTCTCATATGATCAAACAACATTTCTGTCTTTCCAAAATAAATATAAAAATGTGTGGTTTTCATAAATCTGTCTATAAAATCACTATTTATGTTGCTTGGTTGGTTCACTGGTTGCTCAATTTGGATTTAGTTCCAGGTAAACAGGCTGGCTGCATTAGCGATTTCATTGTGGTTTTATATATATATATATATATAATATATCCGATACATTGTGGTTTTATATATATATATATATATATATATATCCGATCAATGACAATAATTACATGTTTTAATTTTTCCTTTTACAATTGTAATATTATTCTTCGTGATGATTTAACTCCAGTCCCCGTTAAAACATTATTAACATTTTGCTTTCAAATTACTTCAAAACATCTTTCAAAATATAACTTACCAGTATGGATGCACACTTTTAAAATAATTCTACTTTAATTAAACTTAGGAGATAATATAATCAATTAATCAATACTGTTTAGGAAATAAATTATTTTATGTATATATATATAAAACAGAGAATTGAGACTATTAAAATTTCCAAGACACTTTGTCTAAATTTAAAAAAATTTTTGTAGCGAAAAAGTTTCAATTGTCTGTTTCGGTGAAACGCGTAATGGGGTTAGCATGACTCGACGTTCAAATAAATGAAATTTCCCTTGAAAAGCCAGTTTGGAAGTTGAGTTGGGCTAATTTACCATTTTCCGCTTACCTTTTTATCTCATTCTGTTTTTTTAATGTTTTACATGTTTAATGGTTTGATTTTCATATGTATTAATTTTTTAAAACGTGTTGAACTTTTTGGAGCAACAGCTCTTGATAACTTTCAGGCGAGCTTACTACATTTTTTTTTTTTTTTTTTTTTTTTTTTTTTTTTATATTTACTTATTTTGCAGCATATTGCGCAGATGTTTTCTAGACCAAAATTAGTTTTTCAAAATTGTAATTACTACCTTGCTTGATATATATATATTATATATATATATATATGGGATGTGAATTCGAGTCAAATTCTCTTAACAAAATCCCCCATGAAAGCATCAGTTTCTCTAGGCGGATAGCCCTTGTTTACTTTGTCATAAATCAAATAAACCAGATCTGTGCTTGAGTCTTATTTGCCTTCTATGTTTTTACTCAAAAGTCATAAATTTGAAATTTATTTCCCATGTTTAAATTATCCATCACAGAAGCAATATTTTCTGCAATACTGGCCAAAAAGTTAGAAGTTTTTAGCAAAACTTTTAAGTTATAAATATAATTTTCTGTAATTAATGCTATACTGTATGATAGAAAAACATTAGCAATTGTTCATCAGATTATACAATGCATTAAGTTAGCAAATGTTGTAAGCAATTTTCATGCTTACAGCATTTGTCGTCTTAAATTAATCAGAACCTTAAATTAATAATAAGTAAATGTTATTTCCTTAAAACAGAATCTTTATTCCAGAGACTAAACATTAAAAAAAAAAAAAAAAAAAAGGTCAGTTTACTTTTGCACTGAAAGAATAATAAATTACCCATTGAAATATAACAGCTTATTGTTAATACCAATTCCTTATAAATATGACACTCTATTACTTATAAAAATGAAAAGGAATAATTTTTAGAGCGAAAAAAATTAGTTTAAAATAAATGAAATATTATTATATTTCAAAACAGGAAATATGTACAATAAATTTTACGAAGTATTAAAATTTTTTTAAATTACTTTTAATTAATTTCATTCACATAGACAATAAAATAATATAGAAATATAAAATTGCTTATTTTTAATAGCAATCTTTGTTTAATTAGATAATATCTCACAAAGTTTTTACCTTCCTTAGTCACTGTGTGTACAACTTATTTTCGAATTTTGTAATTTTTAATGATACTTTTATTTTGTAAATAATAACTTTACTATATGGATATGTGACTGAATTTTTATAATTTTTCAGTTCCCAATGGGACCTGGGCCTGAAGGACCAATGGGGTCCATGGGACCTGAAATGGGACCACCAGTCATGAATGGAATGTCATCTGCAGGTAAAATAAACAAGAGTATGGGTTCTATAGATATTCAGCATGTGTAGGCTAGGTGTTCAATTTTAATATCATTATACAATTTTAATGAGTTTCAAAAAAATGCAAAATTTAAAAAAAAATTTAATATTTGCTTGCTTGAAAGTAATTATTTAACTAACATTGTAAAAGTCGCAAATTGTCCTGATAGTAATAAAAAATGCCAATTTATAATGTTATTTTTTTCAAATTTTTCAGTCTACATTTTAATAAATCTAATCATTAAATATTCACTCTTTCAAACACATAACTAAGCCCTATCTTTTCATTTCAATAGAAAAAATGATAGTCGTAATTGAAATAGAACTTATGTGATATCTTTCTGTTTATGACATAATGTGATTTCATTGTAATTTTGTTTCATTTACATCAAGTACATCATCTTCAGCAGCACATGCTTGAATAGTATTTTTTAAAATTAAACAAGAATGAAGCAATGAAACAAGTTATATCTATCAATTTCTTATTCTGTCAGTTTATGCATTTTCATTAAAAGGAAATGAATTTTTTGTAATAAAAGCATATCATATGAATATGTGAGAGAGATCAAACTTCTTCATTTTAATGTTTTTTCATATCATCTTTACATCTGCTATTCAGAAATGCAGATTCACTTCATTTTAGTTGAATGAGAAGAAATGATACAAGAATTAAAACTAAATTATAGCTTATGATTGATCTACTTTCTTAGTTTGAGCACTAGTCTAAAGTTTACTAGTAAAGGGGTGTAGTCCTAGTCTGAGATTCGTAAAGGGATGATTATTTGTACCAGTGTAAAGGGATGGATGTGTGAAGAAGTGATATTATTTTGGTGTTTGGCAAGAGATGAAACACTGATTAGAACATAAGAAGTGCTTTAAGTTTCTATACCCATCTTAGCTTTGGCTCTTGATAATTGTCTTTTTAGTTTTTCCTGAGTAACTGTCCTTTTATTGTTCTATTCATTTTTAATAAAATAAACTTGTGTCTTTCACTGTTCTTTTTGCTTTGGATTAAATAGCTTTATATATCAAAAGATGAAGATCTTCTGGCTTTGACTGATTATAATTTCTGTTTATAATTTAGTTTTGATTAGCTATCTGGAGATCCAAAAGTGGTTCCTCATTTCCATATTTTGAGCGTGTCTAAATGTTTAAATTAGTTACCATGCTCTTCTTGGTCCAGTGGCTGACTTGTTCTGCATTTTTGTGCTTTCTTTTTAATTCATCATTTTTTATCTTTTGAATTTTAGTGGCATATGCTTGCCTTTGTGTTTTGAAAGTTGCTTTTAATGTTATCTTTGATTTTGACCCAGAAATGTATTGTTTATTTTAAATTTCTCATTCTGTTTCTTGTAGAAATTTAATCTCTTATATTTTGCAACTAACAGTGAATTTTAGACTTAAAAATAAAGGGGGGGGAAACAAATATAAAGTAGTCAAAAGTGCATTTTGCAAAAATTATAAATGAACTAACAAGTTCAAAATTAGTGCCTAGTGCTGCTAGGCAATCCAGTTTGTTAAAAACACTAATAATGCAGAAGACAAATAGAAACAATATCTTGTAAACTGGTAGCTTAATCCAAAGACAGAGCCAGTACAACCAGTACAGTCCCACTGGGCAGCAGAATTTAGAGGCGACAAAATTTGTAGGATTTAGAAAAGTAACGAATAGAAAAATTTAGGGATGATAAATTCAGGGATTTTTTAATTTAGATGAGATACTAGGTAACAGAATTTAGAGGCGACAAATTGTTTTGAATTTAGAGAGATGCAAGGCTGCAGAATATAAGATTCACAGAGATTGAACTGGTTGACAAAAATGCCTAGCATCGGCCCTGCCCAAAGGTGTGCAGATAGCACTATAATTTAGTACAAAATTCTCTGTGGGAGACAGAAGTAAATGTGAAGCATTTGGATTGAAAGCGAATAGAGAATACTTCTCAAAATTTAATGTAAAGATATACAAGGAGTAAGTACAAAAATAGAAATACTTTGAAAAAGAAAAACTAGCCTTTTATTTTGCAGAAGGGGGGGTGAATAGCAAATCCATTTAATGTTGTATTTCTTATATTAGAATAAACTATGAAAGCATGAATATCAGTTTGAATTGTATATATGAATAATTGATAATATATTCCACAAAAAAATGTACTCCATTCATTTCAAAATCACACATGGTGATAATAATATTCTTTCTCCTCTTCCTTGCTGATTTGACAGAAATACAAAGGAAAATGATGGTTATCATAAACAAAATGAAAAATATTTATTTCCTTTTTAAACATCAAAGGGAAAATCAGCTATTAATGAAATGACAGGCAAATTTTATTTAATTCATCTTAGGTCCTGCCCCCCCCAATTGATTGCAGAATTCTGATTACAAAGTAGCCAAACTGCTCATTATACTTGACATGCATACAACAGAGTTTTTCTCTGTGAATGTCAAAGATATTCAGTGTTTATATTTTTATCATTTGTTTTTAAAAGAGAAAACTTTAAAATTTTTTCTGTTCTTTTAGCAGTTTGCATATTTTGATAAAAGTTATGCTGTACTATTTAAGTACACCATACCTGAGAGAGATAGTTAGAGGAATGAAATACATTTATATAAAATATATTTAGAGAAATGAAATGGTTTAAGCCACTTCATTTTTCTAAATATTGTAGTTTGTGTGTTCTTTTATTACAATAGAACTTACAACTTGCACATATGACGATGATAATATTTTTAATCATTTCATGATTTTTCATTTGGGAATGGAATCTACATATGTAAATTAAAAAGTGTTATACCTTCCCCCTTTTCCTTATTGTTGTTATTGCAAAAAATAGTTTTTTTTTTTTTTTTTAGTTATGTAAAGTATTTTGTTTTCTTATTTCCTTTGATGGCCTAAATGTCACACAAATGATTTGGAATTATGTAGGATTTAGCAAATAAATGCTGCTTAAGAACAATTGTTTATGAGAAGATTCAAAAAGCCAATTAAAAAATTTTGACCAATAATTAGAATTATTTTCACCTTGGGTGTCATTAAATTTTAATTAAATGTCATTTAGTTTTTAAATTTATTATTATGGCTCCTATTCAAATAAAAGGCTGGGCTTTTAAGCTTTTGGCATTGAAGAAAGCAATAGAAATCTGAAATAAAATAAATAAATAAACAAATGAAATGTTTATTTTTTATTGATTGTATTTATGTAGTAAATGTTGTAAAATGTTATTAAGGATGTTTTCGTCCCTATGGAAATGAATTCCTTAATAAATGAATATCAAGTGCCATGTTTCAGAGTGCTTTGCTGCAGCATTGCGGCTTATCCGATGAACTTTAAATTTTTAGTCAATTATGAAGTGTATGGCATATACACCAGGATGGATTATCTACTTGAAATTGTAGTATTTTTGCAGCTGAGCAATTTACTTTTACCAAATGACTATGCGAACTTTTATGTGCTAGTTCATATACATTTAAATTACTTGCTGCTGTATATTAAAACAGTTCTCAAATACTGGATGATATGATACCACCTCATCATTTTCCCTCCTTTTTTATGTTTTCCATAGACAATTTCATTTTATGCATATGATTTGTTATATTAATTTTCTTTCTTTCTGCATAAACAAATTTAACTTATTTTAGACAGGGCTAGGTTAATCCACAACTTGATCCATTGGTAATTAAAAGCTTGCAAAATTTCAGAAATTTAAGAAAATCATATATATACGTATGTGTAATATATGTGGATATATGGACAAATTTTCCTCTTCCAATTTTTAAATTTTAAGCTCTTGTTATATATATATATATATGTGTGTAAGAAAAATAAAGAAGATATAAAAAGTTAAATTAGCAATTTCCCTTCTTGATTAAAAAAATAGTAACCTCTCTCTGCAGTGTGTCATTTCTAGATTAATCCATGTCATATGACTCTTACATAATTCTGGTGATGTAAATGGAGAAATTTACATTGCTCATTTAATCTTTTATGTATTCTTTATTTTTCTTACATACATATAAATCTCCCGTTACATTATTATTTTCTTATCTTTCATAGGAGATAATCAAGTTAATTGTAATTATTAATATATGTGTATAACTTTTATTTCTATTTAATTGTCACGCTTTTGTTCAAGGATCAAATTGCAATTCGTTTATGAATTTAATCATTATGACAAATTTATATTTATTGGTTTTTCTAACTTTATATTCAGGTGATACATTGGATGGCATGAAAAATTCCCCTGCTAATGGTCCAGGTACACCTAGAGAGGAAGGACCTTCTATGGGTGATTATGGAATACCTGGCTATGGGCAAGAAAATGTAAGTATAAAATACTAGCTTCATTTTTTGGACAGCAACTGAATTTTATGAAGTTAGTTTAAGAAGCTGTTCATTATTCAATATATTTTTTATCATAATTTATTTGACAAACTTCTACAGGGAGTGTTATCATAAGTCTGGCAAGAAATTAGCGCTAAAATATTCTCTGGGATATGGAAATCATAGCCAATGATTAATCAATTCATACAAATTTTCACATTAATAATAAATGTTTTATTGCAAAGGTTATACTTATTAATACTATCTTAGTAAAAAGCCTGCAAAATCACTTTAAATCATTAGCCTTTGACAGAATTTCATTTATCAGCAGTAAGAAGCTTTGTTAATTCTGTTTACTATCTTTTAAAAATAATTCTGATATAAATAATATACACTGGCATTCAAAGTTAAGAGAGGAAATATGTTTTTCTTTAATCCCCTTCCAAAATACTGAACACTGGAAATTATATGATTAATAATGCAGTAGTGCTGATGTTGAATACATATTTGTTTTCAAACATGCATGTAGTTCTGTGATAGTGATAAATTTAAAAAATGGTCATTTATTTTTCAATCCTACCTCATATACACTGGAAAAGATGCAGAGCATTGTTAGATTTCATAAGTAGTGAGGTAGAATGAGTAATCATCAAAGCTTAAATGACAGCATGATATGGAGAATCAAGCAGGGCAGGTTGCAAGAGCGTTCACTATAATGGCAAATAGCACCTGTAATTTGTGGAAACGGTTTCAGAACTCTGGCCAAGAACATGCAAGGTCCATGTCACCCAATAAAGAGCAGTATTTGGCAATTTCAGCCTGGCAACAAAGGACCACCAAAGTCTCACAGCTCTTTTGTGAGTTGTCTTCTGCCACTGGAACCTTAGTTTCACAAGCAATCTAAATTCTAATTAAACAGTTGAAGCAAATGGAATAATCTTAAATCTTCTTACCTTGTCTCTTTGCTCGCAAATAGATGTTGACGCCGTGAAGGCTGTCTTCTTAAATCCAAAAAGTTACTAAAAGTTTACACACATCATTTATTAATCATTTTAACACACACTCAGACTCAATACAGGAGTGGAAAAACAACATAGCAATAAATCAAAAAGAAGTTAGAACAAAGTTTCTGGGCATGCGCAGATGCCCGAAGTTTAAATTGGAAGCACTCCATTCTATACTGTGGGGTTGTTTTGGAAATTTTTATATATAGGTATATATCAGTTCTCCATTCACTCCATTCTATAACTGTGGGGTTGCGATGGATTACTGTTTCCCAAAGGCCATTTCGTAATACTTTCTATTGAACTTCAGTCAATTCATATTATCTTCAGTGATGAGTCTAGATTCAGCATAGGTGTTGATTCTTAACATATCCTCACCTAGAACCCAATATCATTCTTCTAATCTCAGAGAAAGGGATGATGCTTTGATCCAACAAGCAGCATATTGGTTAGCTGCACACCGTTCTATGTTTTTGACAGAGGCTGTTTGACTACTCAGAGCTACAGAAAAGAGGTCTTATAGCCCTGTGTGTAAGTTTTCAAAGGTGCAGTTAGCTGCGAGTTCTTTTTTTATGAATGTAAATGCTTGTTCACATGGGGCACAAATTGTGGTTGGGTATCTTCAAAATTAAGAATTCAGCAGACGAATTGGCCAGCCATATCTCCAGACCTTAAACAACTGAACATGTTTAGGAGGGACAATTGCAATTCCTTAGTTGCCTCAGAGAAACATCCAAGAGTTAATAATTGCTTTGGTGTAGTGGTGGGTGCAGATGCCGCAGGATCTCATTAACAGTGTGATGACCTGCTATGCTAGCTAGTACTCATATTCTTGTGTATTAAGAGCTGATCATACGTCTGTTAGTCTCATTTTAAGCACTGTTTTGCATCACCAGTTTTGGACATTCCTGCTGTCATGAGAGCATAACTCAAGAATCATGAGTTAGGTACTTTCAGTGATATGTAATATAGAACTCTGTCTTATATTATTCTGTATCCATACCAAATTTCATTAAATCATGTTTGTTATTTTTTAAGAAATTCACAAAAGTGTTTATTTTTTTAATTTTGAACATACATGTATATGAAGTGAATAGTTTTAAAAGAACTGCTATAATATGTCATTATGTAAGCATTATTATCCTGGTTTGTGGTTTTCATTAAATATTATTCTTCCGTATAAGTTCTACATAGTGTGGTAATGTATTCTAATAAACAAAAATTTTTTGCTTGATCTGTAAAATCAGAATTTTGTTTCCCCCCTTCTATAATGATAACTACTTTTGTTCATGATTTTCAATTTTTGACTTTTCCACGTTAAAAAAAGAATTACCGTATTTGACGGCATATAAGACGCACTTTTTTTTCCTAAATTTGGTCTCAAAAAAAGTTACCTGCGTCTTATACGGGAAGGACACAGGTTAACTTTAAATACTGAATGCTATTTTCAGTCCGGATAAAGGTCGAGACACGCCTAACTTTTTCTACATCTGCCATAATTATTTTGCGCATCGTGAAATATCTGTCGCCAAAAAGCGCCAAAGCTCGAAGCTGATGTCGAAGTTTGAACAGGTTCGACGGTCACATTACGTCTATGGAGCCTTTCCTTCTTTACATAGACTTTCTTTGACTCAGCCAACACACGTGTCGGTATTGGTGCTACTCTGTATAAATGTGTCGGTATCGGGGCTTAAAACTGTTTGTTTTAAAAAAATACCCTGGAAAATATGACTACAGGAAACAAAAGATTAAGCTATACAATTCAGTATAAACTAGAAGTGTTAAACTACATCAAAATGCATGAAAACAGAGCAGCAGCAAGGGATTTTGGTCCACCACCTACTGAAAAAAAATAGCTTGCCGTTTGTTAATTCTTCTTAATAAAAATATGTTTGGTAATTGCATTCAATGATGGTTTATTTGGCTTTTAAGAAATGTGACAACTAAAAGAAAACACATTTTAAGTTATTTTGAAACTTTTTTTCCTTCTGTGTGGCCTTCTAAATAAGGGTGCATCTTATATGCCGTCAAATACGGTACTAGGGAAGACAATAGAATCAGGAGAATATAAATGGTCAGATAAGTAAGGAGTAGTAAGACTGATATATACCTATATATAAAAAATTCTTGAATTATTGGAAATATTCTTGAAAAAATTTCATTTTGATTCAGATGCTTGGGAATTTAGCTTTTATTTTAATTTCCATAAATCTGAAATTATCCAGTTTTGAAACTCATTGAATTTTATTTCACTAAATAATATTGAGGGCCAATAAGATGATTATATTTCAAAGGCTTTCTTCATATTAATCTAAAGTTGTTTACAATGTTATGCGATTTCTGTTCTGTATGCTCTTTTTATGATTAATTATTCTGAACTTCTATATTTGTATCTTGCAAAACTGTGTATTATATTTTAGCTGAATCTGCTTTTATTTTATATAGAATAGTTTTTTTTTTATCTTTCTTAACATTTACAATTTCAGGACCAGAACGAATCAGCGGCAATACTAAAAATCAAGGAAAGTATGCAAGAAGAAGCAAAAAGGTTCGAAAAGGACACTCCAACTGAGCATCCTGACTATTTCATGCAATAACTCATGTCAAGTAATTGAGACTTCTAAACAAACAAAATTGTACCAAACTGAGGCCCCGAACTCTAAGTGTATGAAATGCATTCTTCCAAAGTGCTTTTCGATAAGTAACTGTGAAGATGATGAAGTGGAAAGTGTAGTTTTATGAAAATAGACCACCCATTTTGGACTCTTCCACTTCCAGTTGTATAGAATAAATCATTACTTGACTTTTGTCCTACCATTAAGCATCAAGAACCGAAATCAACATAACTGTAATGAAATTTTATCTCTATTGTTTCCACAATGTGGGGCAGGATTTTTTCCTTCTTCATGTGGGAATTGTAAAATAATTTGTTGCATTGTACAATTACATACAGAAGTGCATAAATATGTATTTTTATCACTGTGAGAAATAGTTAAAAGTTGAAATCATCGAAAAGTGGCTCGAGAGATCTTCAGGCAATCTTTCAATTCCATTTAAAAAATCCCATTTTTATTAAAAAAGGGTGAAAATGGTGGCCTCTTGTCATGAGGCAAGTCTAGCATGAAATGTACAATATTCATATTCAAACATAAGCACTATGCAAGACTGATGTGTCTGCAATTCTCTATGGATTACTGTCAAGAGGAAATGAATAAAAAATGGTTACGGTGTGTTTTGCAGACTTTGTTCAAGACTATTACTTATGACAGTGTTTGTTAATTGGGGATCAAGATTTTGTGTAAAATAAAAACAATGGTGAGACATTCTTTTCCACTTGTAAGATCACTGCTCAGTATTGTTATCTATTGGTCATATCATTCATTATTCTAGTTGAAGAAGTTTCAGCCCACACAAAATATTTGAACCGGGCAGACCGAGATATAAAATGTCACCATGAACAAATGAAATACATTGTGAAAATTTTACACCTGTTAATCTGTCCCTTTGTAATTTTACCATTACCCTTTTCAACTGCATATTTCAAAAAGTTCTTGTAAACTTTTACTGAACTGTTCATTTTTTATATAAATCCCCTCCAATATTCATATTAGTATTACTGATGCTGAAATCTGTAAGTATTCAGTTTTCATTCAGCTTTTTTTATTTAGTTTGTACATGTTGCTTTACAGTGTAGTGTACACAGTATAGGTAAACTTTCCCCACATTTTTTTTACCACTGCAGATACACTTATTGTGCATCTTCTATACAAAAGTGATCCATTATATTCATAGGAGGTCTTAGATGAAAATTATCTCTTCCCCTTGAAAATTATAGATGTGTGTGCCATTCAAAACACTGCTGACCGGTGAGGTAGGCGCCGGGAACTCACATGCATCTTGGACATCAACATTCCGAATACTTGAATGTACCTGTCCTGGCGCAGAGACTCGATCTTAAAGAAGTTGCCTATGAAAGAAAGAGCGTTTACTAGAGAACTCGGGAGTCTGCCGAGGCACATTACAGTAATTAACGAAGACTGAAAGGTCCACGTTTTCATGTGACCAATATTGTATATATTATATATCCGAGAGTTCTGTGCTGTTGCCTGTGTATTTGAGTATTGTGCTGGCTACAGTTTATGATGATTTTCATTCCTTGTACAGTAACAGCTCTTTTTTTCCCCTTGTTAACATTATTTTCTATAATGATGGTGGAACTCCAGTGTGAATCCAAGATTTTGATGATTAAATCAAAAGTATTGCTGTAGTTGTTTGAATATATGTTATATTATCTTAAGAGATATATTTTGTTAAATGTACATCGAAATCCCTCATCATCATCTTGAAATTAATAAAGAAATATAACAAAAGCTATGCAACTTTAAATAAATTTATAATATTTGTGTAAATTTCTTATGTATCTCTGCATTTATTAAAAGAAATTAATTTGCATTTAAAATAGAGTATTTTTTTTTTTTTTCCCCAATTGGACATTCAAAAACTTTAAAGTGACATTTTAGGGAAAAATTATTTGTCTGCATTGTTTATGATTGAATCACTCATGTAGTTTATTGTAGTTATAATTCAAAACTTGTCACATTTTAAAATGAGCCTATAGCCAAAGAAAATTTTGGCTGGCAAAACTCGGTCTTCTTTTATAAAATGGATTCCTGTCCAGTTACAATTTAATAAAAGGAAAGGAAAATTTTTTAATAAATTATACTTGGAACTGTTTTGTATAGATAAAACCATACCTTTTAATAGTGTCGTGAAAATTTGGTGGCTGCTTTTTTGCTTACATCCATTATTAGTTGTAATTTGATTTTAATTAATGGTTCAAAATTTGATTTGTAAAAATTTCTCAAATAATCTTTTCATAAAGTTACTTCTACAAATTAATTTGAGTAGCAGGCATGTGTTTGAAATTAAATCTTTGTACAATTCAAAATGAAGAGTTGATATCAAAGAAAATAATATCCACTCACAATTGAAAAGCAGAAATGAACCATATCTTGAAATGTATCTCTCTTTGTGACATAGTGATAGTTAAATGAGGACAACTTAAAGCTATTTTGAATCATTTAGTGAAACTGTCAGCATTAAAAAAAAAAAAAATTTGAAATAAATAAATAAAAGTTTATAACAAATTCATTTGCAAATCTGATTGTAGATGTGCAAATCAATATAAAGGATCTATGAAAGCAAATTAGAAAATTAGTTATACATATCTGGGTGTTTGAGCTTCTGCCAAAATATGGACTTCCCCTATTCTTCAATTATATAACTGAAATTGCTTCTGTACTATAATATTTTTTCTTTAATTCATTTCTATCTTGTATATTTTTAAATAAGATATAATTTTATTTTATTTTGTGTGATGTGTTCATATGTACAGATATTGTAAACATGAAAGCTTTAATAATTACAACAAAGAAGTGTTATAAATGTAAATTTGAAATCCAAAGAAGTTTTTCATTCTGGAGTTCCACCCTCATGATATTGTTTCTCAGATTCTGTAATGTCAGTTGAATAATTAGGGTTAGAAATTTATTGCCAAGAAATATGTATAGAGACTGCTGAAAATGTTGCTACAGGAGTGACATATTTTATAAAGATATTTCCTTGTATAACATGACCACTCATTTGTAATGCTCACACATCAGCAAACCTTTTAAAAATACTCAAAGATTTTAGATTTTAAGAACCGTAGGTTCGAATTTAGATACACGATGGACTCCTTAGAATGTAGATTGATATATAAAGCAGTGCAAATAATGGGTGCATTGTGTCACTATAATCACATATTAAGCAAATGAGTAAAAAGTACATATTATTGCAGATTTTTAAAAGGTATTTTCTTAGATATAATTTAATCCTAAATAATTTTTATTTAAAGTATACAAAAAATAAAAGATTAGAAATAATGTTTTAATATATTTAAAATAGGAAAAAAATAATATTTTAGTGTTATATTTTCAGATAAAACATTTCCAAAAATTTTTAAATAATTTGTTGCATAATATTTCATATACAAAATGTAAATGAAAAATCAAAAATGTATCCCAGAATCCTAAATAATCAATTTTTAAAAACTGCCTTCCCCTCTTTTTTTTTAACACAAGACATCGTGTTTTAGCAATCAGTACAAAGCAATTATTAGTGATTACAATTAATTTTTGCTAATTATGTTAATTTATTGAGAGTAATGAAAATGAGAGTTTGATAACAATTGATAATATAGTCATAAGCCATGTTTTTGTTAGGCTTTATGCAATCTTAATGTACAAAAGAAAATTAAATTCCATTCAATTTAATTTGAAAGTATGTTTTTAATTTTTGAAATTATTAGAACTAAGCATACTATAAAACTTTTGTTTTTGGTTTAAATGTCTGATGTGAATTATGAGTTCATATTATTACCGATAAAACTGTTAACAGCAGCGAATTTTTTTAGTTATGCTTTTCTGTTTATGCTTTTTTGATATTCACTGTCATTTTCCTATAAAATCAAAAGCAAATTTATATTGCTATTTATTATGTATATAAGTCACTATTGGACTATAATTAACAAAACATTTGTAAAATCCAAATAGTGGTATTGAATAATGCAATCAATAGCATTTAAATGCAGGTGTATCTGTAAATGATCAGTATTGCTTGAGAACAACAGATGTACCTCATTACAGCAGTTGGAGAAACAAACAATGTGTAATAAGGCCTTAGATAACCATTTTCAAACTGTGGTACATTATACAGGTGGTATGTGAAGAAGATAAATTGAAATTTAAATAAATGATTGAAAATAAAAATGTATCATATATGAATAATTGTAGTTTTATTAATTAAGAATGTGAACTTATTTTTATACATTGCAATTTCAAGAAACCCAAAATAAAGATATACAAACCTTCTGTACCAATGAGATTTTAAAATCCTTTTTCAGAATCTTTAAATATATTGCCCATCACATTTTTTTAATGCTAATAAAAAAAGCTAGGCTTTATTACACCTAACTTGTTCTAAATTCAAAGCATTTTTTAAGTTTGTAGACTCTCCGTTCACAATGTTTGCAGACTTTTCATTCACATCCTTTTATTCCGTTACATTGATTATAATTTTAAAATGTGATTTTTCTTTCCATCTGAGGTGAGTACAAATTTTCTCAAAATCAAAAGTATAATTTCACCACTGAATTTGCATGACACCAAAAAATACTCAAATATATGTATCATAAGGCATGTCATGATATAAAAAACCCACACCACACATCAGTGTAAGTGTTCTTGTCTATGACGACATTCTGAAATATAATTGTAATTTATCACAAACTTCAAAGCCTTTGATTGTGGCTCCTATTGAAAAAGCTTTCAAATTTAGCAAATTTTCAGACACACAGAAAGAAATGATTAGACATCTTATTGCCCATAATGTGAAACTCAACAATAAACCTTTGAAGCCAAACATAAATAACAAGTGAAAGAACTACATTGCACAAAATTCATTCTAACCCAGATATTATTATTTCAAAGGCTGACAAAGGTGGCCAGATAGTCATCATGGACAAAAACACTTACCATTGATGGTGTCACTAAACTCTTAAACAAAGGGCCATATATTCCGATCCCAAAAGACCCTTCACCTTTGGACCTCTGAAAATTAAAAACTGCGATCAAATCTTCACAAATCCTTCCGACCCCACTTAAAACGATTGCTTATCCCATCTGTTGCAAATTGTGCCAGATTATATGCTCTTCCCAAAATTCATAAAAGTGGTATCCTTTTCTGCCCTATTGTATAAATTTAGGCACTGTCATATGTTAAATATTTAGTTTCTAGATTTTCACTTATGGATAATAATATTACACCGTAAAAATTCAATAGAGTTGTAAAAAAAAAAGTTTCAATAAAGTTCATTTGTAAAAAAATTAATAAGTTTGTTAAAAGTAAAATTTCTCCCCAAAATTTCCTCATAGTTTCATTTGATGTTAAATCATTATTTACCAATGTTCCAATGGAAGGTGCTAAAAACTAGACTTCATAAATTTCATTTCTCCTGCATCGAAACTGATGAACTAATTTCACATTACTCAACTCTGTTTGAAACAAACACATTTCGGTTTCCAAAATAAGTATTATAAGCAAACTGAGGGATTAGCCGTGGAAAGTTCTTTTAGTCCAATCCTTGTTGAATGCATTGAATCCAAATTATTTGAAATTTTAAATTTCTCAGTTTGGTTCCACTACATAGACAAATACATTTACCCTTTTTGATGGTAATGAAAATGATTTAAATAATGTTCTTTCAGTAATGAATTCCATTCATCCTGCTATTCAGTTCACTTTTGAGACATCCAATTCTCTTTCGTTCCTCGACATTTTGGTTACACATAACATATCTGACTTCAGTATTACTGTTTAACATAAACCTTCATCGGTTTGCCTTCCACCACACTTCAAATCATGTCACCCGACGAAACAGAAGTTAGCTTCATTTTATTTCTTTGTTTTCCATGCACTTCAAGTTTGCTTCACTTCAAGTTCCAAATCAGCTCTTGATCAAGAATTAAATTATTTAAAAGCAGCTGCTATTGACAGGGGCTTTTCACCCAACATTATTAACTGTGCAGTTAAAAAATTCTCATTGGAACACATCAAAAGGTACAATCCTGTTTTGGGAGATTATAGGAATAATTCTGTAGTCATTCCTTTTTTTCCCTGTCAATTAGCTATAAAATTGCACGTATTCAGATTTACTTTAATGTTTTCTCTCATTAATAAATTCCTAGTTCCATGCTTCCTTAGGATATGATTCCGGGGTATTTAAAATTCCTGCAGTGTGGTAATTTACATTGGTCAAACTAAGAGAGCCATAAACCTTCGCATTAAGGAACATGAGGCGTATGTTAGAAAAAAGGAAACACAGAAGCCTTCTGTTGCCCAGCATTGTTGGTCCGAAAATCCCACTTTCAATTTTTCTGCAGCCAGAATTATTCAAAAAAAAAAAAGATCTTCCATTTATGAATTAGATTTTGTAGAGGTGTTTCGCACTAAAAAAAAAAAAAAAAAAATCTTTCTGTTCTAGTTGACGACCCTAATTTTAATTCATCTTTACCTTCAGCCTTAGGAAATTATTTGAGTTAGAGCATAAGGTGCCAAGCTTCAAGAAGAAAAAGAAGGGATTGGGATTATTCAACTATGGCAAAGCACACGAGGGCTATCTCGCCTAAGGGGAGGGGGGCCTTCGTGGAGGACTTTCTAAGGGAAACTGCCTCGTATACACGTTACACATGGGGAAAACCACGAAAACGCCCATGCAGCCAGCCCGTTCGCGGGATTCGGACCGAACTACCAGTGTTCAGCGTCTTTACCACTCGGCCGCTGGTGGGCCGAAGAAGAAGAAGGAAATTATGTTTTAGGTTTCTTTTTCCATCAATAGCTTAACTTCTATCCAACTTTTCTTGTCTCTATCCTTATCTCATCTTTCTTCACCCTTTATTTGGTTCATTTGCACTTGGTAGTAGGTAGTTCAAAAACTATCAAACTAGTACTGCAAAAAATTATTTTAAATTTACGCTGATTCTTAATGGTGGACTTTGTTTTTGATATATTACATCTATTCCATTAACACTTGTTTAGTTTTTTCTGCTACTAAGCGAATTTCTAGCTTGTCTTGACGACGATGGATGGCGCTATCTTTTCATGATTTCATTTATGGTTGTCATGGTAACGAGCCTACTTTTACGTATTAGTATGTACCATTCTGCAGTTAGTGTATTCCATTCTGCTACTATATTTTTTTAGTGAAAGTGAAAAAAAAAAAAAGAAGGTTGTGTCTTCATGTGGACAGCTTTACTTCAATATTGTAATATGTCAATAAGTGTTGTTGTTTTTAGTATGTATATTACAGTCCATTATCTCATCTTTATTGTGCATCTATTTTCCTAACTATTCTGGTTCGTCAAGCCGGAGTTTGAATCAATTTGGAAGTGAAATCTGAAATAAATTCGTGTTATCTGACCAAAAAAAAAAAAATAGCGGATATGATTTAGGCTTGTATTTGTGTATAGTGAAGTGTAAGAAACCTTGGCACTGGGTACGTTCCATTTACGATTTTAGGAAGTTTTCTAATTCCAAAGTGTCTTCCTTAGTGTCGAGTAAAAACAGTTGCATGCTATTCAAGGAAGATCATTCTGTTTACAAATGTGGTAGGTTTTTTTAAACTTAAGTGTCCAAAAAAGAATCGAATTTGTCAAAAAACACAAACTTTGTTTTAATTGCTTATCTTCTAAGCCTCATTTTAGTGAAAAATTGTCGTAGTTTACATAGGTGTATGACTTGTAAGTTGCCCCATCATACTGTTCTTCATTTTGATCGAAATCCCAAAATTAATGAAAATGAGAACCCTAAACAAACTTCCCCACTCTCCCCCAGTGCTGAAGAGTTCTTACCGAGGAATAACGAGGTAGTTACTAATAACGTCTACATGACAATTTAGTTATCCTAAAGGTGAAGGAAAGCATGGTTTGCTGTGCATTGCTGTCATTAAAGTTAGCGATTTCCACCGGTAAAGCTCCTTGCAGAGCCTTGTTAGATTGTGGTAGTGAAGCCAGTTTCATTAGTGAA